CCCATGTTTGTTCATCTCTGATGGGGGAAAAAAAAAACCCACACCTTCTGAAATGGTACAAGTAGAAAATCAGATCTCTCCATACATTATTAGAGTGATTAAGTAGCACTGTTGTACAAAGGTACATTGGAATTAGTGTTGCTAGAATGCACAGTCCACAGCCACCTTTTTAAAAAATAATAATCAAACATCAGAATACATCCAATGGGGTAAGCATGAGCAAGATACTGAAGAACTCAGTTATATGCAATTAACATCTTCTGTAATGTTTCATGGTGTGATTGTTCAGTCTCAACTGTACTTGTTTTCCATCTGTAGAAAGTTATGGATTACATCTTCCTCCGTTTAAATCTAATCTGGTCTCATTTTGTTAATATGATGCCCATGTAGTTCACATCAGTACTTGTGTGCTCAAAGAGCTCCAATATATAAAGTCTGACTCTAGATAGCAAAACTCTATCCTTTCTGCAACTGAATCCATGAAGAGGTTGGCCCTGATCATGAAAATACTTTAGGAATATGCATGTGCTGTTAACCATATTGGGGCATGTTTACAATCAGAGGACCACTCACACCAGTTAACCATGGCACAGAATTAACATTTACATTGATTTTTTTTAATTAGGATAATTTTTCCTACTGGACACCAACATATTGCAGTAGGGATGGAATAGTCAGTGAAAGAAACAGGGGAAGGGGACCATTCTGGATCTTCATAAACTTGTCAACATTCAATTGTTGTGTATTTTTTAAATCACTGATCACACCTCCAGCTGCACCGGGTAGCCCTCTGAGAAGTGGGGAAGTTAGCGTATAACTGATTAACCATGTAATCGATAAGCTGATGTTTATCCGTTAATGGTATTGTTTACAGTCAGCTAGCTCTTGGGGAGGCCGGGTCACTGTGTCAGGTGTTGCCTGATGTAAGATTGCTTATGAATTTCCAGTTGTCACCTTTAGGATTGACAGGTCCTTTGTCCCAGGATCAGGCCCAGTATTCAATTATTATATGGTTGGGAACCCTCACACTACAGGAAAAAAAACCTTAAAAAACAACAAATAGTCCAGCAGCACCTTAGAGACTAACAAAACATGCCGATGGTACCATGAGCGTTCGTGGGCACAGCCCTCTTCTTCCGATGAATGGAGTATAAGGGGTTCAAGTTCCACATAAATAGCAGAGAAAGAGGGGGATGGGGAGGGAAAGGAAAGGAGGAAAAATGGGAAAAGAACAGTCAGTTATAGGAACTCTTGTATATCTGCAAGTTTATTAATACATTGAGCACAGTCCACCTGCCCTCTGCCAGCATGGAGCTCACATCTGTGAACAGCCTGACTCCAAAGGGAACACTTTAGGAATGGCTCTGCTTGCCCATAAGCCCCTGATACTACTTGTTTTCCTGCAGGAGGCAATGGTGGCCAGGCTGACTATCCATCCCTGCTCGCTGCCTGCAGTGACATAGCAGCTCCCCTACCAGGCCCAGGGGACTTTGCACAGAGAAATGCCGCAGAGAGCAGGGATGATGGCAGAGGGGTTGCTGCAGGAAGCCCCAAAACAAAAGTTGAAGATTATCAGTGATGACTGACATTGACGAGATTGAGACTTGGTAATCCTGCCACTAGGAATGGGATGCTTGTTTGTAGGGCCTATCCCACCCCGGAGGAAGTGGAGGAGGGGTTGAGAGCCCATCCCAAGAAAGGAAAGCAGGGATGCTGGGCCTATCCAAGGAAGGTGAATGATCGATGGGTTGTGGAGGCAGAGAGGGCAGGGCTGAGGGAACAGTATAGGAAGGGGGGATGGGCGGAGGGGGGAATCTGATACCCAGTTTGGGGGAACAGTGGGGATGGATGGCAATCCTGTCTCTGATATGGGGGGCAGGATGTAGGCTGAGGAGATGGCATGCCATCCCTGACATGGGGTGAGTGGGGAGCAGTGAACCCTCCCTGTCTGCAGGAGGAGATGGGCTGTAAGGCATGGGGGACTGTAGGGAAGGAAGAGAGGGGATGGGGTGGGTGTGATCCCACGCTAGAAAACAGGGAGGGCTGTGGAGGAGTGATCCTGTGGAAAGCCATCGACAGGGTCACTAGGATCAGTCATTGGGGATCCCATGTACCCTCTTCCCACTCACTGTCCCTCCCAGCTCTGCAGTGGCCCCTCTGGACACTCCCCACCCCCGTCACTGCTGCACAGGCACAGCAGCAGGTGCCTGCTATTTCAAGAAGGCCCTAGATTGGCCCAATCCAGATGATGACTCCAGGGCTTTGTCTACACTGCAGGGTTTTTGCATAAGAAGCTTTTTGCAGACAAGATCTTCTGCAAAAACTAGCGGAAGAGCACGTCCACACCTCAAAAACGCTCTAAAACCCGAACCCTAAAACCCTTAACCCAAACCCTCCCCCTAAAATCCTCCCCCTTAACCCTAAATCCTCCCCCAAACCCTCCCCCTTCGCCCAAATCCTAAAACACTACACTGCAGGGTTTTTGCATAAGAAGCTTTTTGCAGACAAGATCTTCTGCAAAAACTAGCGGAAGAGCACGTCCACACCTCAAAAACGCTCTAAAACCCGAACCCTAAAACCCTTAACCCAAACCCTCCCCCTAAAATCCTCCCCCTTAACCCTAAATCCTCCCCCAAACCCTCCCCCTTCGCCCAAATCCTAAAACACTTAACCCTCCCCCGAACCCTAGAGCCTTCCCCCTTAACCTAAACCCTCCCCCACCCC